AGTCTACTAATACTAATAGCTGCTATATGTGTTGCAAATTCCTTTTTGTCAACAGAGAGCCATCAAAGTGACGTCAAGATAAGTAACTGATTTAAAAAAACTGAAGCATCTAATGGGTAAGAAGAACAAGAGTGTGTCTATTTTCCTATATCTGAGCAAACCCCAAAATGAAAAGTCTTTCACTGCAGGCTACAATCGCATGTGGCGTTTTTAAGATTTTAGTAACGCCTGCGTTTCAGACTTAGTGCAACAACGGGTCACTTGTGAAGTCCCTCATCCTGTTCTGGATGCTCTTGGATGGAGAGCACACGAGACAAGTTTTGTATTGTTTTCATTGCTTTTCTTAGGGAACATGCGTTAACACTGACGTGGTTACACAGATGCCCTCGGGTCTTTTTTGAATCTCGTGCATGAACGGCATGTTTTAGATGAAAATAGCTTGTCTAGTTTTTAACAAGTGATGAACAAATGCCAGATTCCTCTTTTAGAAATGAGACCTTTTATTAATGTTTACATTAAATAAGTGGCAAGAGGAATAGGATACATTGCAAAATATTAAATTTTATGAAGTTTTAGCACATTTTAAGACTAGGTTTGATCAGGTGATTTTGCAGGATTGCAGCTGGAAGGGCATCCACTGCGTAAAACATATGCTTGACAAAGTGGTGGTTCATTCCGCTGTGGGGACCCCTGATTAATAAAGAGACTAACCCGAAAAGAAAATAAATAAATGACACTAAAATTGACACGTTTTACTACTCTTCTTTCTTTTAATAACTTTTTAATTCTTCTTTATTTGTTCAGTATTTGGCAGAGATCCATATTTGTTCTATCTCTTGCCCTTTCTTTCCTCCCAGTTTTTGCTGAATCGTCTTTCATTGTCATCTGCACACTTCCACTGACCCCACTTCCACCAAGACCATCTCAGTTTATTACACACTGACAACCAGTTCATTTAAAGGCAGTACATTTTGTGGAAAAAGTCAGGCTGTCTTTCAGGATATGCTTATTTTTAAAGTTAATGTCTATTGTTTGTGTTCTCAGTGTGTGTGTGTGTGTGTGTGTGTGTGTGTGTGTGTGTGTGTGTGTGTGTGTGTGTGTGTGTGTTTTGTAGGTTTTATAAAATTAACCCTTTATTTCTGAGCTATGTCATTTTTTGCTCTGGTGTTGCTACTGTCTCTGTTGCATAAAGTCTTAGTTGATATAGAAATGTTTCATCTATATACAATGTAAAGGTTTTAAAATAGTTAATTACAAGAACCATTTTATGTTCAGCAATTTTAAAGATCCACAGACTTTCTTCCCACCCAGAAGACCTTTAGTGGAATGATCTTTGCATGTAAAAGCTTCTTCATACACTGTAAAACAAAACTTTATGAAATTAAACTATAAAATTAAATTTCGTAGACAAACTTTATGGTTGCTTGAGAAAGCCTCGTCGGAAAGTTTAAAGTTTAAATAATTGAAGTAGTTTTAGGAAGTTTGAGTTGGCATAAATAGAAAAGTACATGCATGTTAGCATGTTTCTAGTATGGATTGGCATGTTTTTTGCTAGGCGATTGATAGTGGGTTTTGAGAGGTGGCTTAGGTGTTGCCAGGCGGTTGCTATGTGGTTGCTAAGATGTTGTAAGGTGGTTGTTTATGTGTTCTAGGTCATTGCTAGGGTGTTCTGATTGGTTGCTAGGTGGTTGCTAAGATGTTGCTTGGCAGTTGGTAAGGTGTTCTAGGCTATTGTCTAGTATGGATTGGTATGTTGTTAGTATGTCCGATGTAAGTTAATGGCAGTTTTTTTTTTTTTTACAATGGAAGTCTATGGGTCAGTTGCTAGGGTGCTGAAAGTGAATGGTCATCAGTGATTGAAGATTGGTAGTCTAAGTTAAATGAGCCCAACATTAAGTCTGTATGATGGTCTGGTGCAAAGTTATGAGGTCACATTTTGGTCCAATGTTAAGTAAATGGGAAAATTTTCCGGGTCAGTTTTCAGAAAACCGTAAGTCAGGTTGGTTGGAAAAGATATAGCAGCTTAATTCAGTATAATTTGGAGGTTTAGAGTTAGTTTGTTGGTTGTAGTATGAACGGTCTAGGAGGAGATGCGTTCTTAAAATGCGTTCTTTCTCAAGCCACCATATTGAGTGTAGTTAACTCAATTTGCAGAAAGTTAATTTTACTCATTTGAAAAGGGTTTTGAACTGTGTTAAAGGTAACGAGTTAATTAAACACCTCATTACTCCAACTTAAATGGAGTAAGTTCACAGTACTCATATAGATGGGTTTTAACTGGGTTTTAATGTGCTTAAACTGCTTCATTTGCTCAAATGGATTAAGTTCACAGTACTCATTAGGTTTAGTTTTGAACTTAAATGGTTTGCTGAAATGGTTTGAGTTACCTCAACTTATTGGGTTTACAGTGTGGAACCACCAATGCCAATGAAGATTCTTTTCTAAAGAGCGTACAGACTCATTAGCATAGATATCTCTTATTGGCTGGTCTGCCTGGTCCTTTTGGCTCGTGATTAGTCGGTCTACGTTTCTTCCTGTTTCAGCCAGGCCTTGAGCCACACATGTTCTGATTTTCAGCATATGTGTGTGTCAGCGTGTGAATGAGGAAGTGTCGTGGATATGTGTGTGTGTGAGAGCTTTGCTTTAGTACTGCTGAGTTGCCTGTTTTTCCAGCCTCACAGTCACATGCTCCTTCAGCAAGCCTCTCAACTCATCATGAAAACACCAGGTATTTCAGCATGGTGTGTCTTCTAGTTGCTCATTTGAACGTTTGAACTTTAATCCTGGAGTGAATGACTAATTAATTAATAACTATTACATTTTTTTTGTTGCTTCTTGTCCTGGTAGTTGTGTGTGCATGGATTTTGGTGTCAGTGTGTACTTATGTGAAGTTAGTTGTGTAGATCCAGGTTAAGCTGTGCGTGGGTCAGCATGCTCTGTGTGTGTAACCATGGTTTTATTGCTAAGCAACCTAACTACCTTACCCTGTAAGCGGGCATCAAGGTCCGGCTGACTGATAAATGACTGAATAGAGCCATCTAACAGCAGAGTGGTGTGACTAAATCTGCGCAGTTTCTTCAACGATGTCTTTGTCAAACATTTTGTGGTTTATTTAAATGTGTCTGTTTTCTGCTTATGGAAAATTCTGGTCTAAGGATTTGGAGATTTCTTCCATGCTGAAAAATGTAGATGCGGCTTACTGGGGTTTATTAGGCAGCTTTGTGTGTGGAAGAGGATTTATGTTTTGTGTGTGTGTGTGTGTGTGTTATACAGAGAAAAATAGGACCAACAATTTATTATATTTTATAATTAAATGCATTAATCAGATCTTTTAATGGACCAGGAAAGATTAGATGAGAACGTTTTGTATATGTAATATTTAATAAAATAATAGAAGTTAATGTTTAAAGATACACAAACAGCTAATGCAACTTAAATATAATCAGGAGTGTATTTACCCATTAAGAGAGGTAAGCGGCTGCTTAGGGACCCAGGAAATCTGGGGGCCCCCAATAAATATCTAGAAGTATAAATTATCATATATAAACTATATATGAACAAAGTTAAACAAATACAATTTTAGCATAATTTAATATTATTTAATATACAATCAAATATAATATTATAATAAGATAATGTTATAGAATAGTAATAATATCACAAAATAAAATATCCATCATGGAGCAGTCTAGCAGTAAAATAAATCCCTATTTTAAGCTGTAAATTCATTTAAAAAACCTAATCATTTAAAATGTAAGAATTGCATTAGTTTAAAATGTTGAAAAGAAGATTGAATGATATAAAAATAAAAAGCAATATAAATAAATATTAAATAAAAGTTGAAAGTGAGCAGGACTTGGGCTCTATGGCTGGAATTGCTTAGGGCCACAAAATTACTTATTCCGTCCCTGAATATATTCATTAGCAAGTCTCAAAATCAAAAACTTTTCATTATCTATATATAATGCGATTGTGATTAATATCAATAAAAACAATTAGTTAGTTTCTAACTAATTCATTAACCTATTATTTATTAAATTATTTAGTTTGTTCATTTAATTATTTATTTTTTATCTGATATATGCTGTAGCTATAACATTTGTTAGAAAATAAGTACCAACATCTAAACCGAACTACCTCAATAATAATTAGGGATGTCCAGATCCGATCATGTGATTGAAAATCAGGCCTGATCACGCGATTTCAAACTCGATTAGAATCGGATGTTATCTCCCGATGAGGACTCGAGTATATATGTATAATTCTCATATTTTTTTTAACACATCTATAGTTTTGCGGTGGCACAGAGTTAAACCTCTTTCTTGACTTCACACAGAAACAGCAACGCGTACGGCATGACATCACTTGGAGTATTATAAAGTTGATGATGACAACATTGCCATAGCAAACTGTGACATATGTGAACTTGGGATTGCCTGTCAGGTTTTTAAGTTGAGGTGCTATTTGTTTTTATATTCCATTTTTCTAAAACATTTACTGTTGCACTGAAGTCAAAAAGTGAAAGATTGATGTTATTTATTACCTGATTGTTCAAGCTACCTTAAAGAAGTGCCCTGTTTGTTAACAGAGTTGTTGAATGTTAAAATAAGGTGAATTAAATAAAAAAGAAGGAACATCCTAGATCTGTTTCATAGCTCTGCTTTATTCTTTTTTTTTTATGTATTATTAAAATATCAGATTTCATTATCAGTAGATACTCAAAGAATTCTGATTTGGACTATCCCTAACATTAACCAATAAGCAGAAAATTAGGAATTTATTGAGCTAAAAGATATTGTTAATTGTTTGTTGACAGTGAGAATTGTACCTTTTAAAAAAATGTGACCAATATAATGTGAAGAAAATAACATCTTCATAACATCACTAATACTAACTTTTCAATGTTAGTCATAACATTAAACAATTGTCTTTTTTGTAATTGTTTATGAATTTTATGATAAAGCTCATAGAACATTTTCAAATTTTCCCTCTCTTCTCAGACTCCAGTCCTGATTGGATGCTTATTTCAGAATGACAGCAGAAGACTCCGCCTCTGCCGTTGCTATGAGTAACCCTAGCCCATCCTCCTCCTCCAAATCCTCCTCTGGACATCCGCAGCATCACTGCACCGTCCCAGAGGGAGTAGCTGGAGCCCCTAATGAAGCAGCGCTGGTGTCCCTGATGGAACGGTCCGGGTATGGCATGGTGCAAGAAAACGGACAGCGCAAATACGGCCCACCTCCAGGCTGGCAAGGCACTTCCCCTCCCCGCGGTTGTGAAATATTTGTTGGTAAAATCCCACGTGACGTTTACGAGGATGAGCTGGTGCCAGTATTTGAGAGTGTGGGAAGGATCTACGAGATGCGCCTTATGATGGACTTTGACGGGAAGAACCGTGGTTATGCGTTTGTCATGTACACGCAGAAGCACGAGGCAAAGCGAGCGGTCCGTGAACTCAATAACTTCGAGATCCGTCCTGGGAGATTGCTAGGTGTGTGCTCCAGCGTAGACAACTGCCGCCTCTTCATTGGAGGAATTCCAAAAACCAAGAAACGGGAGGAGATCCTGGAGGAAGTTTCCAAGGTGACAGAAGGGGTGCTGGATGTGATCGTGTACGCCAGCGCTGCGGATAAGATGAAGAATCGTGGCTTTGCTTTCGTAGAGTATGAGTCTCACCGTGCTGCTGCTATGGCCAGAAGAAAGCTTATGCCTGGACGAATTCAGGTTAATCTTAGTTACAATCAAAATCAATGGAATTGTTCACTCCAAAAAGGAAATTTACTTTTGTTTCTTGTCACTGGGGCTTTAAAAGAACCATTTTTTTCTTAGTGTAAAAAAAATATTTTGGTAACACATCACATTAGTAGTAATTGTGGCTTGGTGGCTCGGTGGTTAGCACTGTCGCCTCAAAGAAAGAAGGTCACTGGCTGGAGTCCCGGTTGGGCCAGTTAGCATTTCTATGTAGAGTTTGCATGTTCTCCTCATATTTGCGTGGGTTTCCCCTGGATGCTCTGGTTTCCTCCACAGTCCAAAGTTATGCAGTATAGGTGAATTGAATACACTACATTGGCTGTAGTGTAGGCTGGAAGTGCATCTTTTGCGTAAAACATGTGCTGGAGTAGTTGGCAGTTCATTCTGCTGTGTCGACCTCTGATAAATCAGAGACTAAGCTGAAGGAAAATGAATCAATGAACAAGTAGCAATTCTCACTTTTAACTAGTGGCTTGTTACCTGCATATTATTAAGATATTGATTATTTTTAAGATGCTGTTTATTTTTACTTATAAAGTACATATTTCACATGATCATATTTCAGATTCTCAATCTAATACCTAAACTATACCTAAGTTTTTTCATCGTTAATGGTTTGTTAATATCGAGGATTATAGCTTGAATAAATTGTGAGCAAAATTTTAATAATGGAAAGGAAAATGTGAAGTTGTTAAGATCCACAGATCTTTGTGAACTGTTCTTTATGATGCCATTAATGCTAACTTTTGCTCACTTTTCTTCAGCATATCCTTGCAATTACTTCATAGAATTTCCCATTTTTTTGTTATAAGCACAGGAATCAAACCAGCCAACTATGAAGTAAATCACAACATTACAAACTTTAATTTGAAGCAATCGAGTAGATGAAAATTTGACAAAAAGGTACAAGACTGTGTACTTAATAATAGCTTTAATGAGGAGAAGAACAACAATCCCATGCAGCACTGCAATGGCACAATCCAAATAAAATTATGGATAAGTACTCATTTAAATTTATTGTTTGTATTTATAGAAATATTATAATTCCAGTTTACCTAAAAGTATGCATGAAATAGTGCAGTGTTTTGAGAGTGTTGGGAGGCCAACCGAATTAGGTCTTTTTCCCACTGCTACTCTGATTCTTTGGTTCTATAAAGCACCTTTATTTTTAAGTATGTACTAAGAGAAGGAGACATTTATGTAGAATCACACAGTTATTTTTGTATACAACAAAAGTGATAGCTATTAATCTATGAGGAAGGTAAAGTTTAGTAAGCTACTAATTTTTTTAATTAATTAAAGTTAAAAGTTTAATTATTCTGTAGTTGAGATCAAGATTGGGTCATTCAGATGATTGAACAGATTATTTTTTTCAAGATAACTGATTTCGAGTAATCTTTGTGAAAAAAAAGCTGATGTATTAATTCAAGTTTATTTGTATAGCATTTCTCACAATAATTGTTGTTTCAAAGCAGCTTTACAAAAGTTGCACATTGTTGCACTACAATCAAATTCGGAAAAGTTAAGATTCTTATTAACTATAGCTTTATTAGTTACTAATAACTTAAACTAATTAACTAACAACTATAACAGCTTTTAACAGTTCAAGTTATTTAAACATAATTAACCTGCAGTTATATAGTGTATAGGTGATGTCTGTGTACATGTTTAATGAATTGTATTTTTCTATCAGGTGTAATTAATTACCAATTAAAAATAGGACCGATTTAATTCTGAGTTCTGATTCTAACACACTGTTTGACTCACTGATTCGGTGAATGAGCTGTGGCAATTAACAGCTAGCTGGAGAGAAATATTAGTTTAATGCCTCCAGATTTGCTCTGTTTATCACACAAAACAACTGAATGGCTTGTGAAGACTTGTAATAAAGCTCACAACTCACCCACGAACTTCTATGGTGCTTTAATCATTTATATTTGTGCTTTCGGAAGAAATACTATTGAAAAAATGGCTGTGTGGAGATTTTCTGAACTTTTTTTGGGGGTTTTTCTGGAATAAAAACACCAGAGGGCGTTATAAATGTTAAAATGATTTTCTTTTTTTGAGTGAACTTTTCTTTGTTCCATAACTGAATCTCTACTACTTTAAACCTGTTTGTGAGTGTGTGTTTGTCTTTATGTTCGTTTCTGCAGCTCTGGGGTCACCAGATTGCAGTCGACTGGGCCGAACCTGAGATTGACGTGGACGAGGATGTGATGGAAACAGTGAAGATCCTGTATGTGCGGAACCTGATGATCGAGACCAGCGAGGAGATTCTGCGCCAAACCTTCGGCCAGTTCAACCCTGGCTGTGTGGAGCGTGTTAAAAAAATCCGAGACTACGCCTTTGTTCACTTTGCCAGTCGAGACGATGCTGTGGTTGCAATGGACAACCTGAACGGCACAGAGATCGAAGGTTCCCGTATAGAAGTGACCCTGGCCAAGCCTGTGGATAAAGAGCAATACACCCGCTATCAGAAAGCATCGAAGGGAACAGCAGCTGCCACAACTGTCGAAAGCACCCAACAAAGTTATGTGTATCAGTGTGATCCATACACACTGGCCTATTATGGCTATCCATACAACACACTCATCGGACCCAACCGAGACTACTTCATTAAAGGTTGGAGAACTCATTATCTCTCTTTAATATATCAGATTGAACAAATGTGATTCTTTCTTTAAAAAAATTATATTAATAACCATTTGGCAAATCAGATACATCATGTTTGTATGTGATTTTTGTTGGTGACCTTGTCTGTAATGCTACTGAATATAGGTGGGAGACTAGATTGTTTTCCAACTATCTTTTGCTTAGCATTCGTATTTACTGCACACACATAATCAGACTCGATCTGTACAAAAAAATGAAGGGCATGCATTACAGTTTATGTTATGATATCCTCTTTAACCCAGAGCTTTCAATCTTTTCAAAAAGTGCTTCTCAACTGGTGGCTAAAATATTGCTAAAAACATTTGCCTTGAAAATGTGTTTATATGTCACAGTTCTGACCTTTTGTCTCAGAATTACACCATAAGATTTAGATATTAAGGCAGCAGTGCAGAATCTACACTAATAGTAAGAAAAGTCAGATTTGGCAAATATAAACCCACATTGATACATATGATATAAACTCACAGTTCTAAAAAACTCATTACTGCAAGCTTATACTGTATGGCTTACAATTCTGTCTTTATAACATGCAATTTTTGTGTTTTTCTCTTATACTTGTGAGAAAAAAAATTGAATTCTGAGTAAAGTCTAAATTATGAGAGAGAAAAAAAAGACTTTTTGTGTTTTTATCCAGCGGCAGAAATAAAGAACTATGCAAAGCATAAAAAAATAAAAAACTCCCTGTAAGGACTTTATAGGTTGATATGTTATTTTGCGTTGAAATATGTTATTTATTTTGTGGAAATTTGTGACATTGATTACATTTACTTTTCAATGCATATGTATACATGAGTAAATGAGTAAAGTCAGAATTATTAGCCCCCCTTCGAATTTTTCTTTTTTAAAATATTTCCCAAATAATGTTTAACAGAGCAAGGACATTTTCACATTATGTCTTATATTTCACAATATAAGTCTTATTTGTTTTTTTTTGGCTAGAATAAAAGCAGTTTTTTTTTTAATAAACATTTTAAGGTCAAAATAAGCCCCTTTAAGCTATATTTTTTTCGGTAGTCTACACAAACCATTGTTATACAATAACTTTCCTAAATACCCTATTCTGCCTAATTAACAATGTCATATTAAGCTGTATAGAAGTGTCTTAAAAATATCTAGTAAAATACTATTTAGTGTCATCATGGCAAAGTTAAAATAAATCTGTTTTCTTAATGATTTGAATAAAGTTTATTTATTGAAGATGAAATAGAAAGGTTCTTTTTAGCTGCTATTTGATGTCAAACATAAAATCCAAGCAAAACCGTTTGAGAATGACTCCTTGAAAAGATGCATCTGAAAACTAGAAGCTCTGCCCTGTTTGTTGCTAATCATATCTTCAGTGTGGCCACTAGATGGCACACAGTTTGCTGAAGAACTGAGATCTCCAAAAAGTATGATCCTGAATCTAATGATGGGAACCTGGCATTATTATATTTCCTAACCCATAATCATCGATTACAAATGCTTGTGGTTTTGGGTTGGGTTTGTAACAACTGAGATCATGCTCCTTTTTCAAATTGACCAACGAGTTGTGATTGCAAATGCTCATCCATTATCTGATTAAATGAAAACTTTATCTTTACTTTTAATTCCAACATTACTCAAACACCACCGCTCCCATCTCAAAGAACAGAAGCAAATTAATAGAGGATTAAGACACATTCACACTGGCAGCAATTTGAATATACTGATGAGTAATACTGCCTAAATACTGCTTTATTTATAGCCACTCCCACATCCTCAATCCTAAAACTATAAAACAGAAAGGTGACACAGAAGCTAATGACTTTTTATGCTCTCAAACAATGAGGTGACTAGTATTTATATATAATTAGGTTGCTCCTTGCGGCACTGTGCCTGAACAGCACGTCCTTTCATTTGTATCTCAAGCAGGTACTGTAAGAGGCCGTGGTCGTGCCGGGGCCAGTAGCAGGGGCCCAGGGCCCCGCGGCTCATACCTTGGTGGCTATTCAGCTGGCCGAGGCATTTACAGCCGCTACCATGAAGGAAAGACCAAATTGCCGGACAAACCTTACGAGATCATGTCTAATCTAGAGTTGGCAGCTGTGAACCCAGTGGGCATCAAGCCTGGCACAAGTCAGTGTGAAAATTAAAGCACATACATACTGAATTTCATTTAGTTGTGCTCTACTCCATTCAGTGGAGGCAGAATATAGAAACTTTGTTTTGGGGGGTGAAATTCTATTTATTACTGACATTTAAACCTCATTATAGTCTTAGATTTGGCTTCTACTTAAAAATAAAAACACTCAAGGATACTGGAGATCAGGGCTGGAACTATAAATCAGTGTTTTGTGATTCATGGGTTGATTTTTGGAATACATCGTGATTCTCTCTCTCGATTCAGAGCCGTTTTTAACAGCAGATTGCGCTTTAGGCTAGTTTTTCATCATACACTAAGTAGATTTATGATTTAAGTTTTAAGTAGGTTTTTCAATGATTGATGTAAACACAGATCACTATGAAGGAACACTCTTGGAATTCACTTTAAATCTTTCATTAAATCTTTCACTTTATAAATGATTGTTCTATATTCAAGTGGGATGTGTAAGAATTAGCAAAGTGTGGCTGTATGTAAAGCATATAGTGCCATCTGGTGGTAAAAGCTAAACTCTGAATCGATTCAAGAGAGAACTCGTTCCGAAAATTTCGGAATCTTTTCTCGATTCACAATTCATTGATTTACAGTGCCAATTCTACTGGAGTTAAAATAAAGATATGGATTTCTGTGACTATGCTGCCCCTACTGGCTTGGAGTGGAACACTAACTTGCTTTCTGTTTGATAGCTGATTTAGATTTTTCTTATGTTGCATAAAAGTTGTTTTAATAATATATAGAATGTTCAAACAATTCTCAAAAATACTCTCAAAATCTGATATACCCCTACATATAACACATTTATTTGAATAAACTGATATTAAAGGCACAGTTCACTCAAAAATGAAAAATCTGTCATCAGATGATTGAACTTACAAACTTCTCATGTTTCTTTCTTCTGTTCAACACAAAAGAAAATATTTTGAAGAATGTCAAAAAAGTCTTCTATTTATGTCAATAGCTACCGGTTTCCAACATTCATTAAAGCATTTTCTTTCTTGTACAACAGAAAAAAGAAAATATTCGAGGTTTGGGATCACTTGAGAGCTTATACATTTAATTTCTGTGCCTCTTTAAACAAAGACACTTTAATAAATCAAGCCAGAGACCTAACTTACAAGTAAAAATACTTTTGAGAGTGTTTGAGACTGTTTGTTTGGGCATTGAGTTCAAAGTTCTTAATGACTTTATTTTCCTACTAATCGGCTGCTCTGTGTCTAAATTAACTGATCTTGCAGAATTCTGCAAACTCCTGACTGGAGTATTCTGACGTCAACTAAAACCTACTGATCCTAAGTCTGAATTAAAATGGGGAATGAAAAGAGTTTTTGTGCATGGAAACAATGTGTGTGAAAGACAATGTGTACGTGGCCGTGTGTGGGTGTGTGTTTTTTGTCACTAATCTTAAGCTGAGTCATACACTTGTTAAATGAGGACAGGTTGTATAAGTCTCAGTCTTTCTCTCTTTTCCTGCATATCCCTTCTGTCATTCTTGCACTTTCTGACTTGTATTTGTCCTTCCTGCATTCCTTATTTTTTTTATTTTGAATTCTATAACCTCACATAGTACACATTTTAGTAATGCACAAAATCAGCTTTTGTGTCCTGTAATATCTATTCACCATTTTTTTCCTGCACCCCATGATGCTTTTCATGAATTATGGGAGTAACGTCCATTAAACTGTATACTAATTGTTTTAAAAAATGGCTACATTGAGATGCCAGTATTTTCCTCACACAAAAAATGCTGGGTTACACACAATCAATTTGTGTTGGGATAACATGGAGGAATTAAGTTAACCTAATTAGTTTAAGTGGATTGAACATAAACATTAAATTGTCCCAAACACACTCAGGGGTGCGAGAACGATGTAGTGACAAGCCTTAAAACCTGTAGTTTCTCTGTCGCAGATCCATCGTTTGAACCACGTTAGTCATAACGTAAAACATCCATAATGATGCTCTAAATTAGGTGGTAACAACTTCTTTAGAGAATAACCCCATCATTTTTTGTGCAAATTATATTGTTTTACATGCACACACATAAAAAAAAAAAATCCAATATTAGTTTTGGTAAAAACATGCACTCGTTTTTCATATTGAAGAGTTCACACTTAGCTGATGATCTATCAAAAGCTTGTTTGGCATGCTGTCCCGGAAGAGAGCCCCGAGCTCAAGGGATCCTCGAGCCCAGGGCTTCCTCCCGTTCACAGAGCGAGAGGGGAGCCTGAGCTCGGTGGATCTCAGAACTCCCCGGCTGCGGTAGCTAGGGGAACAAGTGAGAAAAAGGGGTTAGACAAGTGCTTGATTGTTGTGAGATTGTGTTGCATATTTTTAGTGCAGACTTGTTATTTAAAACAGTTTACGTTCCTTTGAAAGGAAGTTTTCCAATCCCCATAATTCGAAATGCATTAGTCCCGTGCAGAAAAAAAAGAATGTGGATATAGTCTGTTGATTTTTTGTTTCCATTGTTCTAATTGTATGTGTGTGCGTACAGTGGCTCTTCCAGCACTCGGTGCCCAGTACCCTACTGTGTTTTCCGCTGCTCCAGCAACTAAATTAATGGAGGAAGGGAAGATCCACCCGGTGGAGCACCTGATAAACCCTCTGGCCCTCCAGCATGACCCCACAGCTGCCTCGGCCACCGCAGCGGTCATACCTGCAGTCTCCACACCACCGCCTTTCCAGGTACTGAGATGCACCTGAACAGATGGGACGATTCACAGTTATTATAACACCTAGATAACTCTAACACCATGAGCCTATTTATATGTTCACAGTGAAAGTGAAAATGACACAGTAACAGCCAAAGAAAAACATATTTGATATTTACTGTGCAAGCACGGCATGCATGGGGTGTGAGTGTTTACTTGCACTTCAATATGGCTTTGTTATTGTTATTGACTTTAGAGTTGAATTTGGAGTGCAGTAGCAAATATTTGGTTTGGAATTAAAGGAAGTAGAATCATTTCCCTCAAATTATATCTCTTGATCTGAAATTCTGTTACTGCACTTTCTTCATATTTTGCTCAATTTCGAATTGATGTAACTGGAAAAATATATAAGCTTGATAGAAGCTTTTAAACTTAAACTTTTAAAGTTATACCTGTTCGCAATTACTTTCCGTAATTTGTGTTCTGCTTCCACTAATTTCCTATTTAATTTCCCCTTCATGATTTGAAAGGAGGCCAAATAATAATGATTAATAATAATAATAATAATAATATGTGACTACCTATTTTTTCAAAAAATATAAGTCGTTAGAAGGAAATAAATGTGAAGCTTTTATAAGAAAATATCAGAAATATAATCCCAATACTGATCAAAAATGTATCATGTCTAATCAGAATGGTGTTATTTATCATTTATGTCATATGGGTGATTCTAGAATTGACGGTAGATTTTGCGTCTTTATTTATTTTTTCCTTTTTTATTTATTTATTTATTTTTTAAATAAAGCAGTTTTGGCACTAATTAGATAAACTTATCCCTAAAATAACATTTGTATGTGTATTTATGAAAATTTTGTCTTGAAAATATTATTTTAAAGACTTAATCTTTACCCATTTTTGACTTTTTTATTATCAAATAATCACATTAAATTTTTGTCTTTTTTGTGTGTATTATTTAACTATTAGCTTAAAATATCTGTTTTCTGTATTACTTGTAAATTCATTTACTTTATTAAAATATTTGTCATGACATTTTGCGTCTGTCCAGACTGATCTAAAGTACTTTATGTAGTGTCAGTTTAGTGGTTAATTTGTATTGATTTAGGGGAGGGGTTTGGTGCCACTTCTCTTTTTTACATAACTTTTTACCAATGTAAAAAGGAGGAGTGGCACCAAACCCCAAACCATCATTGGTAGATAAGCAAATCGTACTGAATTGTTCAAATGAGATCGTACGAATTCATACGAATTAACCACAAAGTCAAAAAGTTACGAATTGCCGTGAGATTGTGTTGGTTTGTCCCTTCTTTATGGTTAACTCTCTAACATTGGTTATAAAAAGGCAGAACATTCTGTAAAGCACTGATATAAAAAGCATGTGTCTTTAAAAGTGATGTCACTTCATCTAGCGGTAAACTCTGAAAGGAATCGAGGCACATCATTTTCCTTCACTCTTTCTGGTGTAAAAAATATTTATGATACACCAATAGTAGATAAGTTATATGTCAACTCGGTTATTATGATATTTTATTGAATTTCTTATTCTTTATGATGAAATGCATAAAATGATATTTAGACATGTCATGTGTTATCTAATTTGAAATTAGCAACTTCAGCTAAAGACCAAAATGGATGAAAATTTCAACTTTTAACGTTTGTTGAAGTTACATTGCATCTACATGTCAACTAATTCTCATTAGATAATAAGTAGACTGTTGGGTTGGGGTTTGAGTTAGAGTAAGTTGACATGTACTTGCAAAGTTTCTTATAGCCAGTTCAATGTCCGTTGAAGGAGTATATCAACTTATACTCAAATGGACCATCAAAATAAAGTATTACCCATTTAGCAGTATGTTAAACAACAAGTAGTAACAGTTAGAAACAACAAATAGTATCAGTTTGTTTCAAATTACATATACACAAGAAAAATAAATGGAAAATGCTTGAAATGTACCCACAATTCTTGACAGAGTCATATATTTCACCTTCACGACAATATAAAAAGGACAGTGTGTAAGGAAATGAGAATCAGTGAAATGTTGCATGCAAAACAGTAATGGGTATCATTTGACTAACTCAGACTTTTGGGTCTCGTTGATCGAGATGAACAAATCTTTGTTTTTGTCATTTCATCCGTTCAGTTTGCCAGAGTTGCTTGCAGACACATCTAGAAACTAACCAAAATGTTGATCACTATACAAACAAGTCATTAGGATGCTATAAGAAAGAGAAAATAATCATTCATTGTTAACCTATTTTTTTTTTTGTCTGATTATCTCACGTCTTCTGACATGTTTTCAAATTTGAGTTGATCATTCACGTGACACTGACAGTATTATTTAAGCTTAACCAATGCACACAGTCTGAGCTAAAAGGACCTAAAATTAGTTTCGAGTCTATTGGTTTTTAAGTAGTTGGTTCATCATGTGACAGCATGTATAGAGATGGTGGAGAGGTGAGAGATGGAAGGATCAAATCTTTTTCTGGCTCTAAATGCATTGGCTTCTGTCTTTTACATGACAAATAAAAGACTCAAACCCGATTGAAGACTCTGAAAAAGTAACGAATCTTCTCCTCCACCTGCACAAATGTGCGAATGAACAAATCATGCCCAGACAGGACTCATTGTTCTCGAGTCACATAAAAGATTCATTCAAAACGAACAAATCGGTCAAGAATGACTCATCACTAATGCAAAAAAGCCTATTTGCAATAGTCTAAATATGCACAGCTCAGGCAAGAGTCACTTTTTATTTGTATAAAAATGTATACACAACCAAAATCTAAATATTTGTCAACATCACACCAAATTTCCCAATCTCTTTTTATCTCCCAGGGTCGTCCAATAACCCCTGTCTATGCCATGGCTCATAACATCCAGAGGATCCCGGCTGCAGCTGCCAGTCTATATGGAGCCGGATACATGCCTATCGCTGCCCATGCCAACACAGCCACGCTGGCAGCACTGCAGAAGAATGCTGCTGTGGCTGCCGCCTACGGAGGGTACGCTGGGTACATGCCCCAGGCATTCCCTGCAGCCACCTTCCAGATGCCCATTCATGATGTATACCAGACCTACTGACTGAGACACCCGCAGCATCAGTCACAATGACTTACTATTACACGCACCACAGGCCATCAGACATTTACCCCACATCTATGAGGTCTGCTGGTAAGTCGAACCACGCAGAGCGAAACTGACACACTCACAATAAAACTAACACCTTCTGACTCGTGTGAAGCTCCCTGGAAGCCTTTAGATTCCTGCAGAAGTTAAAGCTGGCAGCAGAGACGTAGATGTTCTGCTAAATTTACTCGCATCACCATCAGTCCCCCTGGCCCATGTTTATTAATCCAGACGTATGACCCAGGTCAAAACCACTTTTATTTACTACTGACTAGATAGGTAGACTTCTGCGTGATGTGTTGTGGACTCAAACCCTGCAATGTGACCAGAACTTTACCCATTTTTTACCCTTTAGACCAATGGGAAACAGTCTGTCAGTTCCACATCTTAAAGGAATCGACCAGCTTGCTGATTTTCCAAAGCCATCACACGACTGAATGAATGAACTTTTGTTCTTCTTGTATGTGCGTTTTCATATTTTATCATTCCGCAGAGGTCTTGTTTTTAAGTTGATCACCTGTATGGTGGTGGACTGACTCCGAGTGATATGTTCATATGAAGAATTTCAAACCGTAAGACTTGCAGAAGCACATCTACTGGCATATCGCCGTGTTTCCCACACACACACACACACTCCAGATGAGAATCGTGAGCCAGAGAGGCACAATCTTAATGTCACTCCTCTGCGTTCACCGCCTGAAGAATACTGAAGGAAAGGTGTAGTATTTGTGGACGTATTTAACTCGTCTCTGTGCTGTAGTCCATTTACTTTTGTTTTGTGAAGGAAAACAAAATGAACAAAAAGATACTGCTGAGCAGGAACTTCAACAACCACAGAAGTAGAAGACGTAAAGTGTTTCATGAAAATGCTGTGTTTTGAGTTTATAACATATATATATATATATATATATTCTTGTGAAATGTTTTGAAGACGCTGGAATCTTCCGTCCACTGGGTTTCCTGCATGAGAGTTCATCATATGAGCATACTTGCATTTGTTTTTACTCCTTTATTGCTTTTTCCTTTTTATATTAGACTATTTTTTAAGATTGTGTTCTCTAGTGGGTTTGAAGATTTTTCAGATGCTTTCATCTGAATCATTTTTTTCTTTTTTAAACTGGAAGATAATATAACACTGATATCATTCTCATTCTCATAGGCCAAATAATTGTCCAAGTGAATGCAGAAAAAAAGAGAAAAAGCTTAATTTCACTTAAATATGTTTCGAATAACACTTGTCTCTTGTTAAAAGGATGCCTCACCTAAAATTGAAAGCGCTGCCATCATTTACTTACCAAATATTCTTCTAACAGTGTGATACTTTTTTTCTTCTATGGAACAAATGAGATTATTTTTCATTTGTTTGGCCAAATTTTAATCTTAATCTGATTACCCAAAGTTACCAGCCTACTTGATTTGCTTAGCCAGAACATTTTGGTTGCCAACACTCTTGATCTAGTACGCGAAATGTTTTTTGTACCAACATTTTTGATTTGGTTTCCAAAAACATTTCGGTTTCCAGCTATTTTGGTTTGATTCCCCAAAATGTTTTGGTTACCAGCATTCTTGAATTGGTTAATTGAAACATTTTGGGGAACAACATTCTTAATCTGGTTACCCAAACGTTTTTAGTACTATCAATCTTGATCTGGTTACCCAAAACATTTTGGTAAACAATATTCTTGATGTGGTTAACCAAAACTTTCTGGTAAGCAACAATATTGATGTGGTTGTTACCTAAAATAATTTTGTTACTTTTTATCTTGATTTGGTTATGCAAACTTGTTTGACATGGTTTTCTCAAAACGTTTAGCTTACCATTGAAAAAAGTGTTTGGGTTGCCAACATTTTGATCTATTTAAACTATGTGATTTACTTGATCTAGTCAAAGTATTTTGGGAAACAGCTTTCTTGATGTAATAACCCAAACGTTTTTGTTACCAACATTCTTGATGTGGTCACCCAAAGCCTTTTGGTTACTCACATTTTTGATTCGATTATAAAAACCTTTTTGATTCACAACATAATTGATTGGTTCACCCAAAACATTTTGGGGGCTAATTTTCTTGATCTAGTTACACAAAATGTTTTACATTTCAACATTCTTGATTTGGTTGCCCCAATTTATTTTATTTTTTTACCAGTGTAATCTGATTACCCAAATCTTTTTAGATACCAACCTACTTGATTTGCTTAACCAGAATGTTTTGGCAAGCCACTTGATCTAGTACGCAAAATGTTTTTTGTACCAACATTTTTGATTTGGTTTCCAAAAACATTTCGGTTTCCAGCTATTTCGATTTGATTCCCCAAAATGTTTTGGTTACCAGCATTCTTGAATTGGTTAATTGAAACATTTTGGGAAACAACATTCTTGATCTGGTTACCCAAACGTTTTTGTTACTATCAATCTTGGTCTGGTTACTTAAAACATTTTGGTAAATAATGTTTTTGATGTGGTTAACCAAAACTCTCTGGTAAGCAACATTATTTATGTTGTTGGACACCCAAAAAAATTTGGTTACTAACATTCTTGATTTGGTTATGCAAACTTGGTTAACATGATTTACTCAAAACCTTTAGCTTACCAGCGTACACGATTTGGTTATAAGAAATGTTTGGTTACTAACATTCTTGATTTGGTTATGCAAACTTGTTTGACATGGTTTACTCAAAGCCTTTTGCTTACCTGCATACATGATTTGGTTATAAGAAATGTTTGGGCTGCCAACATTCTTGATCTATGTAAACAAATGTTTGGCTTTTCCAAAATGTTTTGGTTTCCAGTATTCCTTATTTGGTTTCCTAAAATATTTTGGATACCAGCGTTCTTTATATGGTTAATCAAAGTATTTTGGTAAATTCCAAATGTAGTTACCCCAACGTTTTTGTTACCAACATTCCTGATATGGTTACCCAAAACATTTTGGTCACGAATATTCTTAATTTCATCACCTGAAACATTTTGGTTGCCATGTAAATGTTTTACATACCAACATTTTTGATTTGGCTGCCTAAAAATTTCTGATTAATTAAAAAGCACATTCTTGATGTTGTTAACCAAACGTTTTGGCCACTAAAATTCTTGACCTGATTTCCCAAAAAATGTTGGTGAGCAACATCCAGGAGCTGGTTACTCCCAACTTTCTTGTGAGCCACGTTATTAATTATTGATATCTTTATAAATTCACAATAGACATGCATTTTAATAAGTGACTTTCAAAAAGTTTTCGAATTTTCATTTCTGAATAAAACATCACATTTAGTATGTTTTAAAAGCACAACTTGGACAAAAAAATGTAGCTAGGTTGAAGATACAGCATTACTCATGATGAGTAAGTTTTGCTCGCTGGTTGTTTTAACCAACTATGAGTAGCTTTTACTTTTCCAGTCCACTACTGTGATTCCAGCATCCAGTCCTGTGAAGTCTTAGTTGCATCATTAAGAGACCACAAGCTCCCTCGAATCCATTTTTGTGCCATTAATACAAATTACACCTGAAGTACTGTCCCATTTACCGCTGAACCAATTATGTTCACGTTGTTTATTAACGGTCTTGAGTTGCAAGCCTGGAGTTGCAGGATAAAAATCAGGCTAATGATGCGCTACTCCCTCTTCCCCCTCTTCCTAATTCCTCTTATAGATTCATGCAGTCACATCTGACATTTTTGTACTTTGTTTTCCTCTGCATTTTTGTAGATCACACTCCCTTTGGTTTAGCTACTGTACGGTATGTGCTAGTAATAATAATGACTGTTCTGAGGTGCACTTAAACATTTTAGGGTGTTAAAAGTTCTTGTGTGTGTGTATATGTATGTGTAAGCAGGCACTTTTGTATTTTTTGGGGTATAAGTACTCCTAGAACTGGATCGAACTGGACCAAACTGAAACCAGGGAGCTCAGAGAACCTGTTAATATCCTCTATGCCTTTTCAATGACTGCTGTATGTCATACCAATGTCCTCCTGAAGACTGCTGTACGTCACCACTATGCCTTCTATAATACTGGTAATGTCACATGTGCCTTTATTCAGACTGCTGTCTGTCGAGTGACCTCTCAAACACTGTTTGTGACACCACAGTGCCTCTTCTGTTCTCTTCTCATTTTTTTCTATGTCTTTTTTTGTGTGTGTATTGCTATACTGTTATATCTATGGGGGCTGTGAGTGTTAGAGTGCTGCTTTCTGTTGTATTATGCTTTCATGTTCTAACAGAGTTGATGTTTTATTAAGTATAGCCTGCTATAGACTGAGTGAAAGTTTTGGGGAAAACTTCATGATATGCAAACAAAGACATAAAGAATGACAATCCATAGTTCACATCAAGTAAGCTAAAGACACGTTTTTATCACCATCATCGAAGGCAAAGTCTCTCGATTTTGGTCAAGTCTGTGTGTTTTTTGAGAAAAGTGAACAGTGCCCAGTAGTTTTTCTGTCTCTTATCCAGTCCTTCATTATGAGCGAAGCAGTCAGGATATATTTAATATATATATAAATACAGTACGTTGTTTTTGTGTATGAAGTAAGAGGAAATGCTATAATATATTTTGAAAAGATTTTCCATCTCATTATGTGCTTTTAACAACCTTTTTTTGCCAAAGTGTTTAATGTGTGCATGTAAACTAATGCAAATGTGTGGATATATATAAAAGCGGCTATATGTATGTTTCCAGTGTGGAGTCAATATTAGCCCAAACTGACACATCCTTTGGCAAAATGTGCTTTCTTTTGCAATCATTTCATAAACACTACATGTGTAGCGTTTGTTTTATTCCTTTTTAGACTTGTTTCTTGTTACTAAAAACAAATAAACAAGACAAGGTGACCTCGGCTGAGGACATTTAGATAATGTAGATTGTTGTTGCCAAAATATTCTTATCGCTCCCCCTTTTTTAGACCTGTTTAGAACTGTTTTCTATCTCGCATTTTTTTGTTTTTGTTTAAGGCTTTTTGGCATTGTTGTATTTATAGAGGTAGTTTAATAAAGCATTTTCAAAAAGAATAGTAATCTGTTTTTGTCTTTCTTTTATGCCTTCTATCTTGCGCTTCATTCATCAAATTGTTTTGACTAATCTTTTAAATTACTTTTACATGTCATTTTTGCAATTTTGTCGAAAAGATTTTCTAGTTGCTTTTCAATATTCCACTCACATTTATTTTTCTAAATCAATTTTACACTATTAAATAATACATAAAAAATAAATATAATTAATCCACAATTTTTGTTAACTTTTTAGTGTTTCCTAATTTTGAGTGCTGCATTGTAACTGTGTTGGGTTTATTGATATAAATGTCGTAGTTGTAGTATATATTTAGCCTAATGGGAAATTTAATTGTGATTGGTTATTTTCCTTTTTTCTTTCTTGATCTGACACTGACATTACACAAAATAAATTGTAGATAATAGAAAATTAATAACTGACTTAGCCAACACGAACAATAATTATAATTATTAACAAACTATAATTATTGCTATTAATCTAGGGTCGCCACAGCGGAATTAACCGACAACTTAACCAACATATGTTTTATGCAATGGATGACATTCCAGCTACAACCCAATACTGGGAAACATCCATACACTCACATTCACAAACAGACACTGCGGACAATTTAGCTTACCCAATTCACCTATACCGCGTGTCTTTGGACTTGTGGGGGAAACTGTAGCACCCAGAGTTAGAAGGTTGCTGGGTCAGTTGGATTTTCTGTGGAGTTTGCTTGTTCTCCACCGTGCTCATGTGGGTTTCCTCTGGGTCCTCCGGTTTCCCCCTCAAGTCCAAAAACATGCAGTAAAGGTGAATTGGATAAGCTAAAAATTGTCTGGAGTGTATGTGTGTGAATGAGACACTATGGGTGTTTCCCAGTGATGGGTTGCAGCTGGATGAGCATCCGCAGCGTAAACATTTGCTGGAATAAGTTGGTGGTTCATTCCGCTGTGGTGACCCCAGATTAATAAAGGGACCGAAAAGAAAGCCGAAAAGAAAATGAATATATATATATATATATATATATATATATATATATATATATATATATATATATATATATATATACAGTTGAAGTCAGAATTATTAGTCCCCCTTAAACTTTTTTTATATATATATTGCCCAAATGATGCTTAACAGACCAAAGAAATTTTTACAGTATTTCAGATGATATTTTTTCTTCTGGAGAAAGTCTTGTTTGTTTTATTTTGGCTAGAATTAAAGCAGTTTAATAATAATAAAAAAATATATATTTTGAGGTCAAAATTATTAGCCCCTTTAAGCTATACATTTTTAGCTATACATTTGTAGCCTAGTTAAATTAACCTACTTAAGCCTTTAAATGTCACTTTATGCTGTATAGAAGTGTCTTGAAAAATATGTGGTCTAATACTATGAATTGTCATCATGGCAAAAATAAAATAAACCAGTAATTAGAGATAAGTTATTAAAATTATTATGTTTAGAAATGTGCTAAAAAACCTAAAAATGAAGAAAAAAACTGTGAAATATCAAATCAATCCAAACTCATGAGACCTGTTCGTCTTCAGGATATAAATTAATATACATTAGGTGAAATTTGAGAGCTTTCTCATCCTCCATATTGACAGCAATGACACCGACTCATTCAAAGTCAATACAAATACCAAAAAAAAAAAAAAAAAAACGATCAGAAGCCTATCAGATCAGTAGTGGTTCAATTGGAATATTATTAAGGCTCGACTTATTGGGGCAATTTAACCAATAAGAGATAATTGGCTGCTTAGGGCCCCAAGAAATCTGGGGGCCCCAATAAATATCTAGAAGCTTCTACATATAGCAAATTTTCTATGATGAGGGTCTAACAAATAAAATTTTAACATTATAATAACATCAATGCTAATGTGTCCCCCCAGTCCTACTAATGGAGCGTTCCAGCAGTCAAAATCAGGTAAAGATTTAGCTTAATAAACAAAATAATTTGTTTTTTTTAGTTCGTTTTAAAAAAACAAATCATTTAAAATGTAGAGATTGCATTAAGATATGTAGAAATGTTAGAAAAGAAGCGCTATGAGCAAAAGACAACAAATTAAATGAAGTTTCACAAACTAATTTCGAGAGGAGCATGTGATATGATTGACTGCAGCTGGCCACTCATCTACACTCATTAGCTAGCCAATCAGATTGATCCAAACTCACTATAAGTAACCTAGCTAAGAACGACTCCCTTATCTTTGTTTTCCCGAAGAAACCCCCATCCACCCCTTCTCCTCCTTTCCTCTTTTGCCGGGGAGAGCTCTCGAGAACACCTGACTTCGTACTCCCCTCACATGCTCTATGGACCTGGCGGGAGCCCTGGGTTTAACTATTTACGAGCTCAGGGTTCTCTCCCGGGACAGCATGCCAAACCTGCAAACAAGTTGTCAAACAGTATCTAAGTGTGAACTCTTGAAATGAATAAAAATACAAGCATATTAGGATTGTTGGGGCCCAATGGCAATAATTGCTTAAGGATTGCTGGCCTCGACTATACATTTGTGCACAGGTAGCAAAAAAACAACAACAACAACTTTATACAAAAGTTTATTCTTTTCAATGTCAGAATACGGCACGTGTTCAAGAGTGTCATGTACAGTCGCATTGCTGACATATACCTTGAATGCACCTGTGCTTTGTTTCAAGAGGACATCGGGCGCGGGCATCCGGGTTGTGCGCACCCGGACGCTGAGGAGAAGAATCTGTACAAAAAGTCATTATTTTAGTTTCATTCACCACAAAAGTATTATCATAGATTGGAAATATTCCAATTAAACCACTGAAGGAGTATAGTATGTTTTGGGGATGTTTTAGTTGCCTACCTTTTTGGAGTTTGATTTGGGAGCGTTGCCCATGGGGAATGAGGGAGGAGAAGGCCTATTTGGCTTTCATCCTAAACATATAATTTTTTCCCCAGAAGATGAACAAAGGTCTTGGGAACGACATGTGGGTGAGTAGTTAATTCATCTCATTAATTAATTATATGTTTAGCTAAGAATGGGTTCGTGATTTAGGCTATCATACTGTGTGCTCTTGAAGATCAGGTACATGTTAGTACAAAACATTACTTGAGGTAGTCTACGGCATTGAACACCCCTGAACTGAAGGATTTAAAAGTAGTTCTTTTTGTACCACAAGAGGGCAGCAATGCAGAGGATCCAGATGAAGGCTTGAATCTGAGCACGTGTGTTACTGTGATGTGGATCCACCGGACATGTTTTGTTCAATATGCTCATTAAACGCAATGAGGTTCTTCCCTTTTCTATGTCTCAGTAAGTGAGTAAGTAGCTGTGACACACTTGACATGATATGGCTTGCTGAATTGGTCATTTATGCCAATCCGCATAGTGGAAGGCTATAAAAGTTAGCAAGGTCAGTCAAGAGGAAGCATATTTTATTTGTGCGTGTGTGTTTTATTTAGTGTGAAGAGAGATGAATATGATTCATGATTGATTGCCCTTTAAGTATCAGCAGAAAAATCAAATGTTAATAGTTGCCACGGGTAGTTGTCATTTCAGATGTTTTCATTCACATCACATCATGCGTTACAGTTGATATGATCAACTCTAAGTAAAACATTCTCAAATATATGCCTGGAGATTATATCACATTCACAAATGCATTATGGTTATGGATTTATTTTACGGATATACAGTAGTATTGTTATTATTATTTATTAAATTATGTGCGGCGACGCAGTGGCGCAGTAGGTACTGTCGCCTCACAGCAAGAAGATTGCTGGTTCGAGCCTCGGCTGGGTCAGTTGGCGTTTCTGTGTGGAGTTTGCATGTTCTCCCTGCATTCACATGGGCTTCCTCCGGGTGCTCCAGTTCCCCCCCCCCCCACAGTCCAAAGACATGCAGTACAGGTGAATTGGGTAAGCTAAAATTGTCCGTAGTGTATGAGTGTGTGTGGATGTTTCCCAGAGATGGGTTGTGGCTGGAATGGCATTCGCTGCGTAAAAAACCTGCTAGATAAGTTGGTGGTTCATTCCACTGTGGCGACCCTGGATTACTAAAGGGACTAAGCCGAAAAGAAAATGAATGAATTATGTGCATAATTTCTGCACTTTTGTTCAGATGGATCATGATAAATTATGACATTATTATGGAATTGCATAAACATGAACTATGTGATAGATTATTTTGAGCGCTATTAGATGTTTGTAATTATTTAAATTATGCACAGAATATGGGTCAAAGATGGGATGTCTCGTTTTGATGTCAGCATCAAAAAAGATTCACCAAAGTGATGAAAACCATTTTAAATGCAAGTTTCTACTTGAATGTTTTAAAAAACATTTGTGAATATAAAATATGGGTCATAATTACATATATTATACATGTATGTAAAAATAAAACAACATACTTACATTTTAATGTTCTTATTAAAATATGTAATAGAAAATTAGCTATTTATTGTTTTAGGGTTGCACTGTGGTCCTTAAAGGTGACATGGTGGCTCAGTGGTTAGCACTGTTCCTTCACAGCAAGAAGGTTGCTGGTTGGAGCCCTGGCTGGGTCAGTTGGTGTTTCTGTGTTGAGTTTGCATGTTCTCTCCGTGTTCGCGTGGGTTTCCTTCCGGTGCTCCGGTTTCCCCCACAAGTCCAAAGACATGCGGTATAGGTGAATGGAATAAACTAAATTGGCCGTAGGGTTTGTGTGTGATTGCAAGAGTGTATGGGTGTTTCCCAGTACTAGGTTGTGGCTGGAAGAGCAATTCGTAAAACATATGCTGGAAAAGGTGGTGGTTCATTCCATTGTGGTGATTTATAAAGGGACTAAGCCGTAGGAAATAAGGTTGCAGGGTTTATCGATACTATGGTAGTATCTTGATACTAAGACTCCAAAATACTGGCGGTGCCACTGTAGTTTGTGAACAATAGTATCATCATCATTAATAGTTTATCTACAATAGATAATGTTGCATGTGGAAAAGTCACTAAAATGCTCACACGTTTGTGCAACAATAGACTATTTTATTTGAATAGTCTGTGGAG